GGAAGGGAAGGAGCCGGGGAAAAGGGCAGGGAGGGACCCCGAGGCTCGCAGCAGAGCAACAGGGCTGCAGACCGGGCCTGTGATACCCGGGCAGGGTGCTGGAGCACGGGGGCTTTCCTGTGCCAACAGGCCCAGCCGTGAGAAACCCCCGAGCCCAGCGCTGGCCCAGTGCATTCTGGCAGGGTGGCTGCGGGCCCGGCTCCCTCAGGGTCACTCAGCAGCCGGGGCAGCTGTGTTCACTTCGCACCGTGCGGAGCCCGTCGTGCCCTGCCAGGCTTGGGCTCCAGCTCCGGGCAGGGCAGGGAGAGCCGGGCAGCTCAGGCATGCCGGGGCGGGGGAAGGCGCAGGGACCCCGGCGCTGACACGGCCCTGCTGCCCGGGCAGGAGCCACCAAGGACATGGGCAAGATGCTGGGGGGCGAGGAGGAGAAGGACCCCGACGCCCAGAAGAAGGAGGAGGAGCGGCAGGAGGCGCTGCGCCAGCAGGAGGAGGAGCGCAAAGCCAAGCACGCCCGCATGGAGGCCGAGCGCGAGAAGGTCCGGCAGCAGATCCGCGACAAGGTGCGTGGGCCAAGACAGGGCCTAGGGCTCCACCACCACCCCCCGGCCCTGCAGCACGTTTCTGGGCACCTGGAAGGAGCATCCTGGGGATGGATGCAGCAAAACCCCCGGGCAGCTGCACCCATTACCCCAGCCCCACACCCGGCTGGACCCGGCCTGCCTGGGGCAGGGGTTGGAGAGGGCCTTTGCCCCTGCGAGCTGAGCAAGCAGGGGCAAAGGGCAGGGACCCACTTTCCTCCTGCCTAGGGGCTCCCGGCAGGCTGCCTCCATGCGCCGGGATGCCATGGGGATGGGTGCTAGGCATGGGGGACTCTGCAGGGCTGGCAAGGGACCGGGGGCCGCACTCACCCCGGGTGTCCCCGCAGTACGGACTGAAGAAGAAGGAGGAGAAGGAGGCGGAGGAGAAGGCGGCGCTGGAGCAGCCGTGCGAGGGCAGCCTGACGCGCCCCAAGAAAGCCATCCCGGCGGGCTGCGGCGACGAGGACGAGGACGAGGAGGAGAGCATCCTGGACACGGTGCTCAAGTACCTGCCCGGGCCCCTCCAGGACATGTTCAAGAAGTAACCCCTCCCCGCCCCTTCTTCCCCCTTTTCTTTTCCTCCCCTCGCCCCGTCCCAGGTGCCCCGGGGGGGCCGTGCCCACAGCCATGGGGCTGGCACTGGGCGGGCACTGCCAG